TAGCCTCACAGGCTGGGGAAGCTGGCCGAGCAGGTAGGGGATTTTCATGTTCCCTCAATACCCACCTATCAGCTTCCAACAGTGGGACAGACTAGAAATTGAGTCTGGAGATTTCAGGATTTTCAGATCCTTCTATAAAATTATAAATAAGCCCAATATAGCTTTATCTGGAGGTTTCATCAAATCTTAGCTGTCCATTGTAACTATTTCATTCACGCTGAAAACAATAAATACCATAGTGATTGTCTTTGATTTTCAAACTTGACTGTTTCCATTGTTTTGCAAATCAATTCAGGTTTAGTTTTATTTTTAAAGATAACCAATTTTTCCTTGGTTTTGTTTTTTTCTTTTTAACATTGCATATATTTCAAATAAGTTCTCCACTCAGCACTAGTCTGTTACACTGCTGAGTTTACTAGTAGACTGAAAATCGTGTCATTAATAGCTAGAGAGGATATTGTATCTTGTACTGTGTATAACAAGCTAAAGAGGCTAACATGCATGTGCAGCTCTGTTACTCTTGTTCTCCTCTGGTGGTGGGTCACTATCAGTTCCTGGACAGTAAGTATCAATTTTTAGTGGTAACTCTTTTTCCCTTTTAGATGCAAAAATTAGCTATTTGTGGATCTCTGTTGCAATTTTTAGTGTTCAAAAATTGTGGAACTATCAGCCAGCATTGCAGAAATGTAAAATTTAGCACTAGACATTCCTAATGTGAAGAATTATACTCTGTGACATATTGCAAATGAGAAAAAGAATCGCTGAGAGTTGATGTTGCCTGCTGTTTTAAGTAGTAAGCATCTAAAGAACTGATAAAAGGAGCTGGTGCACCTGAAGTTCACTAGGGTTAGGCGAATTCCTCGGCTGAAAAGAAAATTTCTGAAGTTCCAGTGGTCCAAAATGAAGCTGTGCTTTCCTTCTAGCTTTCTGTTTAGCAGTGGCATGAGGTATCCAGCAGAGAAGAGAACCCTAGCCTGGAGCATTGAGAATTCACATGATGTTCAGTGGTGATGAGTCTGAAGTTTTGGATAAGGGCAAATCATAGCAGGCTACAAAACTGCAGAAAAGCTGTGGGTGTAAAGGCCTAAAGACTATATCATCTCTGCATGAAAGGAAACTAAAATTAGTCTGCTGCTTTTCAAGTAACTAAATATTGTGACACAAAGCAAGGACTTAAATTATGCAGTGGAAGACTGAAAAGGAACAGAATAATTGCTTACAGACCTTCAGTCCAGATTGGTTCATGTCATGCGTGCTACCTTTACTATCTTTAGCTTCAAGTATATTCTCTGTTGCATGTCTAGAAGACTCTGAGTAAACCATGCTTCACATTCCTGACCATGTGCTTCTGCCATTAAACTGTGTCTCCTCAGCAATTTCCACCTTCCTTTCTATGGCAAAATGTGTTGAACATTTTTCCTGTGTATCCATGTGCTGATGACTTGGCCTTTTGTAGCCAATAAAACCTATGTTGAGATGTGTTGGTTAAGCAGTTTGGGTGCCTCCTGTTTTTCCAAAGCCCCAGGTGCTGCGTGCCCGACGGTAGGTATGTTCCCCAGCACTGAGCTTTGATTGATGAACAGCTTAAATATAACTTGTCGTTTGATTAGCATAATTAGCACTGAAATGAACATTGGGTTCTTTGGGGGGTAAAACTCTTTCCTCCTCCCAGCCTTCAGGTTCTGATTAGCTGATGTTGTTGTTTACAGGGAACATCTGGACCAGATCCCACCACAGTGTATGTTGATATGAGGGCACTGAGGCATGACAGGTCGGAACCACCTTTTTCTTTTTCTCTAATACACACAATTAACAGAGTTTCTAGCCAGAAAGCTACTTACAGCACACCTCAAACACCCTGGAAACCTTTGTACTTCTCATAAATAATCGGTGCTAACTCCTACTAGTGAGCAGATGTAGACATATTAATTGGTTACTTTATTTTACCACTGATAAAACTGAAGCATCTGACATCACCACTGGAACAGCTAACGAGATTTCATGCCTTTATTGCCCTCAGGAATTCATTACCCTTGTGTTCAGGTGGTGCAACCTAGGCAATCCAAAGAACTGGAGTCCCATTGGGCCTCAGCCTCCCAGAGGTGTTTCTGCTGGGCTGGCAGCTGTTAGCCATGGGGAGACCAGGCAGGGGATGCTTTGCTGCAGTGCTTAGTGCTGCAGGAATGTGAGGAGCTGCATTATTGGCTTCAGCCATTGTGAGCAACCACATTTTGTAATGGTGGGTATTTTCCAGTTCCAGCTTTAGTGTTAGATATGTATACAAGAACTAAAAATTACCACTTAGTGATTGGAGATTTTAGGTGTTATTTTAAAAAATATCCATACACATATATTTCAGTTTTCCTATACTCTGGTCAAAAAGGTAGCAGGAGTGTCTTAACAAAACTGTAACAAAACAAAAAGTTTTCTAAGAACTCTGGAAAAGGTGAACATTTAATTAACAGTATTTGTTCCCTTAAAAAATCATTATCCAAATGGGGCTTTTTTTTTTTTGTTCTTTTTCTTTCATCCTTCTTAAAAGCTTAACAGAGAATTTACTCCCCTTGGGTGAATACTGACTTTAACAAAGTGACCAGCTTATCTTGCAGAGTGCAAACCTCAGGCCATTGTGGGCCCAAATTACCCTCTGGGTAGTGAAGTCAGATACACACACATATATTTTCTCCTTGCATATGGAATTTGGCAGGTAGAAGAAAGCAGCTGCAAGATACTTGCCTCCCCATTTCGTTATTCCTTTTGCATGCAATGTTATCAATAGAAATATAAGTTTGATTGATGTTTGGTCTGTCCTTTGTATAATGCTACTGTCTGCATAACCTGACACCAGAATACTTGGTGTTCTGGCCCAGCAGCTGCAGTGCTGTGGAGACACAGTCTGTGCTCATACTCAACCCAGGGAAAAAAAAGGCCTCTTTTCTAGAAAGAGAATGTAGCATTTACAGTTAATAAAAATTAGAAATAATAAAAATATGTGTATATATAGAGGAATTAAGATTTACTGTTCATAAAAGTTGCATAAACCATGGGTATACTATTTCCCTGCCTTAGCATGTCATTGAGAAGTAGGCATCATTATCGAGATCAGACTTTGCAGTGTATTCATTTATATTTAGTGACTAGTTCTACAGAACGTGAAAGATGATCTTTAGAGTTGGTTCTCATATTGTGGCAATGTAGATTTTAATTTGATGGATTAAAGCTGTGCCTCATTTACCCAATCCTTTGGAATTTAGAATTAGATGCATGGGTCATAAATTAGGGGCAAGCAACTTTATTTGATGTAGTCTCTTCACACTTGCTGTTTCTAAGCATTTTAGTGAAACTGAATGTCCCTATTACTCAACAGTAACTGAAAGATTGCTCTACATAGCTGTGAGACCATATAGTAACAACCCAGTGAGTCCTTACAGGCCAGCCAGTCCCCCAACAGGATGAAAAATTTACCCTGTACACTTAATATGAGAAAATGTTTTTCATCATTTGTATTTCAGAAGATATTTTCCAGAGTTTGAAAAAGACTGAACATAATCTTTTTTTTCTTGTCATTATAACACTTCCTATTTGCTTCAAAAAACAGCTGTAGTTCATCTCTTTGAGATTATTCAAATCCTATTCACATCTATAAAAATTAATAATCACTTTGAATACTACTATTTCAAGCTCATTCAGTAATTATGGATTTGGGCACTTCACAGCTTATGAAAATGTCATTTTTTTGATAGGACTTTAGGTCAAAATACCTGTGCTATGTACAATCTGTGTGGAAATCTAGGGGTGGTTGATCAACCAAACTAGATGTTTCCTTCCAGCTCTCACTGGATTAGGTCACAGTGGAGGTTTTCAAACACATTTTTGTGTGTCTCTCTGTGTGGTTTTATGCTCCCAGCCCTCTGGCTTAGCTGCTGGGACTCTGGCCATAGTAGTGGGATTGCCTGGAGGTTCAGGAAGCTTGTACCAAGGACTGCAACCAGTTGGACAGTGGCTGGCTTCAGTTCTAATACCAGAAAAAGGCTGGCTGACCTAGCTGCCAGCATCTCGTGTGGTTCTAGATGCTATAGCTACTCCAGCAGGGTCTCTCATGGAGCTCATGTTGTATTTGCCAGCCCTAGTGAGATGTCCTAGTGAGATACACCCTGTGCTGGCTCAAATGGCGCAAGACACATTTTTTTGGAAACTGAGTAGCATCCTAAAAGCAAGAATATACAGCTCAGGCTTGCTTTTGGTGACAGGACATCAGTATTGTACTCAGCCTGTTACCCATTTTATAAAAATCAGAGTGTCCTCAGCATGGCCAAGAAAGTGAGCAAAGGCAGGCAAGTCCCACAGAGGCTTTTAATGAAAAGCAGGAGAAGTGCCCTGAGTTATCCACCAAGTGGATGATATGCCCCTTCACTGCAGGGCAATGCAGTTTAGAGAGGTTAACCCAGATCCAAAAGGCAAAGTAGGTGGATTAATCCTCCCAGCAGATGAGCTGGCCTCATGGCAGCTCCTTGTTGCTGGACACGGACAGGCCACGGGCACAAGGCCACGCGCATTTCGGGGAGGGCAGAGGCAACAGAACTTCAGGTGTGAGCACCTTGTTGGGTCTTATCTGCATTACTCTGCCTCTGGGAAGACAGTTTTATTCCCCTTCCTCCCCAAAAAAGAAAATAAATAGAATTAATATATTCCTATTCTTGTCCTGTCCACCATCAAAAGTGCTGGTTTTGAGATCACTCCGTCATCGTTTTTAGACCAGTCATGTTCTCCTCAGGAAGCTTTTCAGGTGGTTAAGCACAAGATACCTAAATATGCTACAGGCTGAGAAATGTTTGGAAGATCAAAAACAGATTGAGAGAACCTTTTCTCATCATACCAGAACATCATATACTTGAAAGATGTTGCATTTTATGACATTTGCATCCTTTTGTACGAGTGAAGATGCAAATTTAAAGCCTAAGCATCCCTTTTATACAGGTTGTTCTAAAACAATAAGTACATGTGTTTATAACATTTAAAATGTCCAGCAAAAATATATATCTCTGACACTAGCATAAAAATTTCACAGCCTCCTCATCCTTCACAGCAGGTTGTTTCTTGGTAGAAAAATTATTGGCAAAGCAAACCAATTTATCAAGCTGAGAATAGACCTAGAAGCTTCTTACAGAAGCTGCCCCTGTAGCCCCTCACTGCTAAAACCTGGCCATGCAAAATCACTATAACCTCAGGTATGTTTGAGTGTTCTACAGCAGGTCAGGCTGGATTTTCAAAAGCTTCAATGTATTTCCTAATATCCTAAACTCTATATTTTTTAGAATCGTTCAAAACTGTTTTCAAAATGTTGCTGTTTTGATCTGCTAATTTTTATTTTGATATTACCTTGAATTTGAAACAAAGCTGGTATGAATAAGAAATAAAACATCATGAAAAATATTGAAATATTTGGCTGCTTCGAATTTTTTGCTCAAGGACACAGGAATTTCTTTTCCTGTGTATCTGTATCTTTCATATTTTAAATATTGCATAGAGGATTTCCTCAGAAGTTTTAAATAGTGTCCATCTGGTGATGGCAGAGGCAGATCATTGATCTTCTCCCAAAGTTGAAACTTCATGAAAATCCTGCAAAGATAAATATCCCCTTGCAGCCTAATATTCTCTTCTATAGCAAAACCTTATCCATAAAGAAAAAAACTATTATGAAAATCATGGTTCTGCCCAAGTGGAGAAAGGAAAGATCTGCTTTGAAATTGGAGTTTATTTTAAAAGGACAAGTAAAAAGAAACATGTCAATTGCAATCTGTTTACCCCCAAAAGCAGATAGAAATGTCCCCAGTCTTCTTGTTCAGTGGCAGAGAGTGACAATTTACGAGCTTTGATGAGTGGAGGCTTAGAATCCCACGGGGAGAGAGCCACTAACCCAGTCATACATGTATTGCTGAAGATTTTGTTATCATTTTGTATGCATTTGTAATAGCCAGTTCCTCCTCATTTTGACTACAAATTGTATTTAAACTGGTTATTGAACCACATCCACATCTTGTACAAAACTGGGCAAGAACAAAGACTTTCAACCAGTGTTACTAAACACTGTTCTCAGTTTTATTTGATGCCATCTCTAGTTTCATATACCCATAATATCCTTCTGATCCTGTCTTCAAATTCCAGTATATCCTTTGGTGAAGTAATGGGTGGATTAAATTATCTTCGAAATTATTCGGTTTCATCCAGTTAAATCTGTAGGGTTAGAAAAATGGAGAATTTAATTCATCAAACTCTTTTGTGTTTTACTAGAGTTCCCTTTGAGCTACCTGTCATGGTCAGCTGCCACATGCTGAAGCAGCTGGCATCAAAAAGGGATTCGGATCCAGAAGTGGGATATTGCCACACAGACCAGAAGCACCAAGATGTATTTGAGTTCAAGTTATTATTACTTAGTCTGGCCATAATTCAATGTATGGCTTCTGACATCCATAGTTTCTCATTGAAATACTCCCAGTCCATCATTAGAACAATTATTTGAACCTGATTACCTGTATTTATTAAAAAAGCAGCCTGTGGAGCTGTAGAAATAGGTGTCTTCTCATGTGGTCACTGACATCATCTTGGGGTGATACAAATTAGTGTATCTCTTAAAAAGAAAGTGACCTTGTATGTACTTAGATCATTAGCAGACTTATTTCTTAGGAAGTCATTTGTATGTTGTGCTAAGTCTAATTTGGTTTTTTTGGACCTCAGAGGTATTCAGAGATCTCTGAACTTCCTTCAGGCTTG